TAATGTAATATCTTACACTGGGTTAGACAACTCACTGGGTTAGACAACTGATATTACTTTACACTGGGTTGGACAACTGATATTACGTTACACTGGGTTAGACAACTGATATTACATTACACTGGGTTAGACAACTAATATTACGTTACACTGGGTTAGACAACTGATATTTCATTACACTGGGTTAGACAACTGATATTACGTTACATTACACTGGGTTAGACAACTGACATTACATTACACTGGGTTAGACAACTGATATTACGTTACACTGGGTTAGACAACTGATATTACGTTACACTGGGTTAGACAACTAATATTACATTACACTGGGTTAGACAACTGACATTACATTACACTGAGTTAGACAACTGATATTACATTACACTGGGTTAGACAACTGATATTACATTACACTGGGTTGGACAACTGATATTACATTACACTGGGTTAGACAACTAATATTACATAATGTAACGTAATATCAGTTGTCTAACTCAGTGTAATGTAATGTCAGTTGTCTAACTCAGTGTAACGTAATATCAGTTGTCTAACCCAGTGTAACGTAATATCAGTTGTCTAACCCAGTGTAACGTAATATCAGTTGTCTAACCCAGTGTAATGTAATGTCAGTTGTCTAACTCAGTGTAACGTAATATCAGTTGTCTAACCCAGTATAATGTAATATCAGTTGTCTAACCCAGTGTAATGTAATATCAGTTGTCTAACTCAGTGTAATGTAATGTCAGTTGTCTAACTCAGTATAATGTAATGTAAGTTGTCTAACCCAGTATAATGTAATATCAGTTGTGTAACCCAGTATAATGTAATATAGAACAGGTTTTTAATAGTTTGGATACTCCTACAAAGTGACAAGTACTGTTACTATCATAAGTCTATTCACAGTTTGTCTCAAGACATATCTAATTTAATTTTATAAAAGTACTTCATGCTTGTGGTGATTCAGAAGACAAGGTTATCAATGTGGTTTAAAACTGAATTATTCTCAGAAAGTATAAATACAGGTATCACCATAAAAGTTCATTATATCATAATACTGAAGATCCATTGGTGGAAAATACATCATTGTACAGGAGTAACACAATATCAAAAGAAATTTTGTGAAGGATTACTAAGAGTGCTAGTTTATTCATAAAGTTTGAATGAATATTACTTTGCATAATAGATAGGCAACATGCAAAAAAGACGTGAGAAAAACATTGCTTTACAAACCTTAAGACTCAATAAAAAAATGTGATATTTTACGTATCAAAGTGTTGTAACGTTTACTGATAATCTGCCGAATTTCATTTACATTCGCTTACTAACTTAAAAGTTCTAGTATGAAAACAATAACAAGCACAAAATGGTTATGAGGTCAGTTCCAGGGACTGAGCCCGTGCTAAAAGAGTTAAACCAAAAAATAAACATGGGACTAATTCTGCTACAGCCTTCTAGTCAATAACCTTTTCTTCTTCACTCAGTTCTTATTTATTTCTCTAGGTAAAATGAATGCCAAAAAGTTCCAACAAAGTTCATGAAAACTGCAGATATAGAAACATGAAAACTGCAGATATAGACACATAGGGACTGCAGATATAGACACATAGGGACTGCAGATATAGAAACATGAAAACTGCAGATATAGACACATAGGGACTGCAGATATAGAAACATAGGGATTGCATCTGCATTTGTACTTGAGGAACACAATATTCCATACTTCACGATGAGTGCTTCTTCATGTCATGCTTTAAAAATTGTCTTCTTAGAAAACAATATATTTTAATATAGTTTTTTCATACATTGCTCTGTTCATTCCACAGCCTAGTGAGAATGACCAACTTCAACAACCTTTGTTTTACAAGTTCCCCTGTACAGCTCTTGCTTTGAAATGTTTTTTTTTTTTTTGCATATGTTCCATCCTAGGTTAATACATTTTTAAAGAATATGTGGAAGAAGATTTGACCTTATAAGATGACTTCTGTGGCATCAGCCATCACGTGCTTGGCTGTACTCTAATATGAGAATGTACAGAGATCTTTAAACAGTGAAGTAACTAGGTCTTAAAGGGCCCTGTGTAAAACTTTTTATTGTTGCCCTCACTCCGTTAAAACTTTTCCTGTGTTACAAAATATTTTTCTCTCAATTCCAATATAAATTTTGAGAGGTCACTCCAGAACCCCATTTCAGCCTAGGCCAGCTCCCCCCCCCCCAAAAAAAGGTTCCACTAGCTTAAAATATTTTTACTGACCAATAGAAACACTTATTACTAAAAAAAAATTAGATTTCAGATAATAAAATTATCTTATGCTTAAGGAAATAAAAATTCACGAGAATTTACCTTGGTCATTTGAACTTGCAACATATATTGTTAATTTCGGGCGAATGGTTCTGAATGAAAGAAAAAAGTACATTTACACTTGAAAACTATACAGCTTGCTAACAAAAGTCAGATATGTATTTTCAGGAAGACAGAATAACAACAATAATAAATATAAATACATTACTACACAACCAGTAATCCTGTACTCACTACTTCAATGCACAAAACGAATATATGAATATACAATTGGAAATTTTTATATAATACAAATAAATGTCTGTAATAGTATTAAAAAGCCACATTTAAAAACCTAAAAAATTTCCAACCAAGTATAAAGCATGGTTAAGATGTCATAGAATTATACATGCCATGAAATATTAAAGTTATCATAATGAAACAAAGTGTAGTGAATGAATCATATACTATATCAGGACTAAATGAACATGAACTCTGCTAAACCAATACCTAAGTTAGGATTAACAAATGAAATAAAATCAACATCAACAATTAACATATATAATATTATAAATCTATTGAACCAATAACTAAGTTAGGATTAAGAAATATATCTAATAATATCTACATCAGAGATTAATATATATATAATATTATAAAATCTATTAAACCAATAACTAAGTTAGGATTAAGAAATATATCTAATAATATCTACATCAGAGATTAATATATATATAATATTATAAAATCTATTAAACCAATAACTAAGTTACGATTAACAACTTTAAACTAACTAATGAGTTGACATTTATGTATAAACAACCTGGAGTGAAGGGCGTTGTATAGACGAATTCCATCTGCTACTCCACAAATTTGAATGAGATCATCTCGGTTAAGTCGCATAATGTCTGAAGCTGGAACATACACAGATGTCAGAGAGATTGAAAATATACTCAATATCAAACTAATATTTTATATTAGGATATATATATATATATATATATAAATCATTAAATTTGATAAAAACATATTTGCAATGAAAAAGGTTAGATTTGGATTATATTCAGAACAAAATATGATATCAAAAAATGGATGACACAATAATTTTTATCCCATATTTTTAATTTAATGATATTATATAAATGTAATATTTACATCTGAAATTACTTTGTGCTGAACTGCCATCATTCACAACAATCAACTTCAACAATAAAAAATTATTTTCAATTTTAACCAATATTATTTTTTGAATCTCAACAATGAAAGTAGTCTTCAAATTTGTTAAACTAATTTTATAACTTCTTAGCTCGAGCAACAATAATGTGTTTTCAATTCATTTGTTCATGATTTCATCCATACATAGCAATTACTTTATATGAAACTAAACACAACACATACTCAAAGTTTTTATATACTCACCACAGAAATTACTGAATGTACACTGGTATTTTTCAAACCTATTAAGTTTCAGCCACTGAGCTGTTTCCTCAGCAGAGGAGCAATAAGGCAAAACTGTGTATGAAGCCTGTAAGAATTACAAATTATCACTGATACCATCGGTTTTAAAATTTCAAGTATACTAATGGAGTTATAATGAATAAAAATACACACGACCTAAACGTGTCTTCATTTAACACCAATCTATCACTTCAAAACTTTCTGCTTAATACAAAAGTTGAAATGGAAGTGCTGGGAACTTTACCTCAACTTATGAAATTAATGAAAACTAATTCATTTTTTCTTTAATTTTGATAAACATCACTCAAAATGCTCAATAATAATAGAAAAACAAAACATTTTTTTCTAAGAAAGAAAACAGAGACTACAGTACAGATTTGTGTTTCATTTTAATCCAATATTTGGTCAAATGTCCAAATAAGTTTCCCTTTTTGTTTTGATGAACTTTTATTTTAAAAGAATCAAACTGGATGGGAAGAAATATGAAAGTAAAATATGCAGACTCATATTTACTTGTGGTATGACTTCTTTAGGCTGACTTTCTGGAACTTCATGGAATGAAGATAAAGCCAAAGATGAGGAGCTTTTGGTTAACCTAGAATAATTTAGCAAGAAAACTTTTACTCATGTGGTTTCAAAAACCCATACAAAGTAAACAGCAAGTTGTACATTAAACTCACTACTATGATTAAGTAAAAAATTTGCATAAAAATTAGTTATAGAATATTTAATAGAACAACAAAAACTCATCTCAAGTTAAGCCATAAAATATATATCATGAACTGGTGGTGACAACAGTAATTTCAAGTTATATAAAAAACTTGAATCACAACCCTAAATTCTAATAATATGAACTGCTACTCTAAGTTACAATAACAGGAACTTTTACTCTGAGTTGTAATAACAGGAACTTTTAATATAAGTTGTAACAGCATGAAATGTTGCTCTAACTTGTAATAACAGGAATTTTTAATCTAAGTTGTGACAGTATGAATTATTGCTCTAGCTTGTAATAACAGGAACTTTTAATCTAAGTTGTGACAGCATGAATTGTTGCTCTAACTTGTAATAACAGGAATTTTTAATCTAAGTTGTGACAGTATGAATTATTGCTCTAGCTTGTAATAACAGGAACTTTTCATCTAAGTTGTGATAGCATGAACTGTTACTCTTAAGCTGTGATAAAATGAACTGTTACTGTAAGTGTGAAAATACAATCTGTTACTCTTAAGCTGTGATAAAATGAACTGTTACTGTAAGTGTGAAAGTATAATCTGTTACTCTTAAGCTGTGATAAAATGAACTGTTACTGTAAGTGTGAATATACAATCTGTTACTCTTAAACTGTGATAAAATGAACTGTTGTACTAAGTTGAGATAATGTGAACTGCTATTCTACAAGTTGGAAATATGATTTCTTATCATTTGTGTGACCACATTTTGTTTAGTAATTAAAGATATTAAGTTTCATAATTTTGATTTCTTATACTGAATATATAATATAGATTACAAGATTAAGAGAAGATTTATGAAAAACAATATAGTAATCTTGAAATAATAAATGAAATAAATCTTCAAATGTAAACAACTTACTGATCAGGAGAACCTAAGGGTGAATCTTTACTTAAATTAAGTTCCAATGAGGTACTTGTTGGATGCTCAATTTCCGTGGAACAGGGAGACTCAGGAAGATCAACTAACGAATCTGGTGGGTACTAAAATATTCATATAACACATTTATATCAGTTAGTTGATTAACCAAAGGAAAGAGAAAAAAAAAGTAAATCACAAACACACACAAAAACATCAAGTTCAAATAACCTGAATGAACCTACACATCTATTTGTTTCTTGTGGTACTACTTAGAATAAAAATTTTTTTCTTTTATTTAAAATACAGGAATTATTTTTCACATATAAATTTTACTGATGATAATTCTGAAGAACAATAACATTAAAAACAAACATATATTACACAAAATTCATGATGTTATTTATTATCTAAGTTACTTTATTACTTTACATGTTTACTCGAGTTTCTGGGTTTAATAACATTTCTCTAAAGAAGCCTGTGCAAAAATTATTAAAAACTGGACATCATTATATTTAATGTTTTATAAGTTTTCCTTAAAACAGTAATAAATAAGGTAAGTTACTATCATGGTGTTTTTTATTATCTGAACAGTACTTTACAAGTCTACTTGAGTTTCTAGGTTTGATAACATTTTTCTAAGGAACCTATGAAAATACTCTGTTATTTATTAAAAACTTGGACATCATTATATTTAATGCTTTATAAGGTTTCTTTAAAACACTAATAAATAGGATAAATTACTAATTGCTCCATCAGCAAAACTTTTCATTCCTTTCTGAAAAGCTTGGCTTGAGGGCCAAGCAATTTAGAAGCTAGGAGTTTCTTGATTAGTTATACACATTATACACAGGATGTATTCCAGAATAATATGTTATTGTGCTCACTTGACTACTGAAACAACAAAAATTAAACAAAAGAGAAAGTACTTATTATCTTTAATATTTATCTTCTACAGAAATGAAGTTTTAAATAAACCTTTCAAACTGTTCCTGAAATACATTCAAATGATGTATGTAACAGATTAAAAAAATAACATACCTCAGTCAAAATTGTGCACTGGTATGAAGGTTGATATTTCTCCTGTGAAGACATTTACAAAATAAAAATTATATGTGTTTGTTTCATAATACAAAATAAAATATTTTTTCATGATCAGGTAAATCAAAATTATATATCACTATGGTAAAGTAAGTACTGCATCACAATAAGTTTAATGTTTGAAATATAAATTTACAATAAATTGTTTTCCTTCGATAAATGAAAATGTGATAAACACTTCACCGATAAAAACAAACTAATAGAAACTAACCATATTTTATTAGATTTTTAAATATTTTATTTTTGGGTAAATGTTATTAATACTTAATATACACAAAGACAATCATATATTGGTCATACAACTTGGGAAAATTCCTGTTTTTCCAGTTTTATAGCTAAGAATTATATTACAAAACTGACAACAAATTGTAAAAAGTTGCATGAAAACTGATGTTTTTTTCTTAATCTATGATATTCTAGTTATATGTAACCTTACAAGATAAATAACTATTCTAGTCATGTCACCTTAAAACACAAGATAAACAAATATACTAACTACATGTTACAACACAAGATACAAATATTCTAGTTATATGTAACCTTACAAGATACAGATATTCTAGTTATATGTAACCTTACAAGATAAATAGCTATTCTAGTTATATGTAACCTTACAAGATACAGATATTCTGGTTATAAGTAACCTTACAAGATACAGATATTCTGGTTATATGTAACCTTAAAAGATACAGATATTCTAGTTATATGTAACCTTACAAGATAAATAACTATTCTAGTCATGTCAACTTAAAACACAAGATAAATAGATATTTTACTAACACGTTAGCTTACGCCACAAAAACTGCTATCATGGCTTCATTTTACCTCAAAATCAAACACAAACAACAACTATCCCACCTACATCGCCTCACAGAACAATATACACAACATATCACCGTACAAACATGATATAAAAAACTTACTTTATCTTCTGGTGGTCGCTTTTCCATTCGTTCTCTATCTGTTCGATGTTTCCTATCTGCTCCTTTGGACTAAGTGAGTGACATAAAAAAATTCATCTCTAGTACAAACTTTCATTAAAAGATTTATCAGAACTAAAAAGTAAAATATTCAAATCCATTAAATAAAGAAAGAAAGATCAGTCTACTTTAAAACACAGCACTTGTCCACTGTGCTAAACACATAAACATGTAACTAAACACGAATCAGTTGACGGATACAAACTATAATGTGATTACTGAGAGAATTGAAAAACATCGGCTTGGTTACTAAGCATCCAAATTAGAAATTGTTAAATAAGTACAGTCTATTTACTGTCCACTTAAAGCTTTATATTATTAGCTTGTAAAAACTGGATATGTGAATTTCTGGACACTTACTACACTAGTTAAAAACCTGAATGAACTATATTTCGGGAAAAGTTACATTTTAAGTACTAGTAAAAAATATCTTTTTGAAACTTGTTCATTAGTTTTTCATTCAAACAATAGAAACAGCATTGTGTGCATTTAGGTAACTAAGTAACCTTGAGGTCAGTCACACCAAACCATATGTTTTCATTATCCCACACTGTAGTAAAGTACACTGTAATTGGTTGAGAGTAATAAAACTAGGTTATTCTACATATAATGTATCTGATTTCTTGAGTTTGAAGGGGTGGCTAGTTTAGAGACTTTTCTAAATTCTGCTCTGTGTGTCTACAGGAGAGGGGGAAGAATATATTACAGTCCATGATTAAAGTATTTAGATTTTTTTGGTGGTTACGAGGTCAGTCGAATTGACTGATCCCGTTTTTGAGATGTGGTAGAGAAAATAACAGAAAAATATAATGTTTTACCGAAAACAAACATTTGAAATGTATTTAGGAGGTTTTAGAGATTTCACAAATGAATTTGAGATTTTTAAGATGAAAAAAGTATTTTCAATCTTAACATGAAAATCACTTTTCACACAGACTATTTAAAACAACTACTAGACATATTAATGGATAAATCTTATTTTAGTTCATTAAAAATACTTCACTAAAAAAATTTCGTTTGGTATGTGAAAGACTTATAATATGAACTGAACAACTGCCAAATTTTGTGAAGATATACACACTATATTGAAAGTTAGAAGTATCAAATCTATAAAGACTTTAGTCGAATACAATGAGGTCACATGGTCGGTCAAATTGACAGAGCCTGTGTTGAGAAAGTTAAAGCACTCCCCTTCTTCTCCCATGCTCATCCCTTTCCATGCTTGCAGTGTTGAGATTCTTCACATATGCTGCAAAAAGCCCTGTCACTACTTATGGATCTGTCACCATTGTTAACTCTACAAAATATATAAAACCAGTGGAATCTGCCACCATTTTTAACTCTACAAACTATGTTAAACCAGTGGGAACTGCCACCATTGTTAACTCTACAAACTATGTAAAATCAGTGGAATCTGCCACCATTGTTAACTCTACAAACTATGTAAAACCAGTGGGAACTGCCACAGTTGTTAACTCTACAAACTATGTAAAACCAGAAGGAACTGCCACCATTGTTAACTCTACAAACTATGTAAAAACAGTGGAATCTGCCACCATTGTTAACTCTATAAAGTATATAAAACCAGTGAAATCTGCCACAGTTGTTAACTCTACAAACTATGTAAAACCAGTGGGAACTGCCACAGTTGTTAACTCTACAAACTATATAAAACCAGTAGAATCTGCCACAGTTGTTAACTCTACAAACTATATAAAACCAGTGGAATCTGCCACAGTTGTTAACTCTACAAACTATGTAAAACCAGTGGGAACTGGCACCGTTGTTAACTCTACAAACTATATAAAACCAGTAGAATCTGCCACAGTTGTTAACTCTACAAACTATATAAAACCAGTGGAATCTGCCACAGTTGTTAACTCTACAAACTATGTAAAACCAGTGGGAACTGGCACCGTTGTTAACTCTACAAACTATATAAAACCAGTGGAATCTGGGTTGTTAACTCTACAAACTATATAAAACCAGTGAGAACTGCCACAGTTGTTAACTCTACAAACTATGTAAAAACAGTGGAATCTGCAACCATTGTTAACTCTACAAAGTATATAAAACCAGTGGAATCTGCCACAGTTGTTAACTCTACAAACTATGTAAAGTTAACAACTGTGGCAGATTCCACTGGTTTTATATAGTTTGTAGAGTTAACAACTGTGGCAGATTCCACTGGTTTTATCTACAAACTATGTAAAACCAGTGAGAACTGCCACATTGTTAACTCTACAAAATATATAAAACCAGTGGAATCTGCCACAGTTGTTAACTCTACAAACTATATAAAACCAGTGGAATCTGCTACAGTTGTTAACTCTACAAACTATGTAAAACCAGTGGGAACTGGCACCGTTGTTAACTCTATAAACTATACAAAATCAGTAAAAAGCTGGAATTTTTTTTATGTTAAGAGGAATTATAGGCTTATCTACCTTGAACACTTTGAGCTGACAAGATGCTAAGTCGAGCTGTTGACATTTCTTTTCCCCATGAGTCCAAGTGCTAATTGTGAAACGAAGTATGACTCCTTTTTCCCCACCTCGCCTTCGAGAGGTAAACTCAGTACTGATGCAGTTCACCTGTTGGAGAAAAAAAACAATATTATTAATATCATCACTATGGTGTAGGGTATAAATCAAAGGTCAGCATTTTTTGTTAAACTTTGGGCATAATGGTTGGTAAAATAAAATATGTGTCCTAGGTTATTATCCTAGGTTTTTATCAACGGTATAAGTGTAGCTATTAGTTTAGTCGCCAATTTTAATTTCATTCCTTTAAGTTGCACACTGAATCCTTTTTTATTCCAATCACAATATTTCATGTTTGACAAATCATAGGATGATAAGCAAAGCACGTGACAAAACACTGTTCTCTGGATTTTACAATATGAATGTGGGTGGTGCTTATTGTAGTAACTGCCATTTTATGTAGAGGTTGTATTTAGTTTGTATTTTAGTCATACAGCAGAGCATCAGTTACTCATTTAACCAAACTTTTCTTTTAGACAGCCAACAGTTTTAGCAGTTTTCTTAATCAGACAACTACACTCATCACTCCTCAGGTAACAACATTAAAAATTTTCTTATTTAGACAATGGAGTATCAATTAGTTATGTAACCAAACTTTTTACATAGACATCAGTTTTACTTACTCTGATAAAGATGGAAGCTTCTCTAGCAGGATCCCATACAAAATGACAGCTGTTTATCTCTGCTGGATCAATATTGACATCGAATATTCCATAGGACAGTGGAAGGTCTGATTAAAAAAAAAGCTTCATCTCATTAAACAAAATAAAAATAAGCAACCAATTAATGTAGTTTGATATTAGTGTTAATCTTTCTATATCACAAGATACTGGATAATGGAAACGTGAACTTTCAAACAAAAGTGAAATTCATAACAGTGAATTAGGAAGATGTTCAACATGGGGGAGTGGGGCAATAGTTGCTGGATGTGACATGCTTTTTAAATGTTTAGCATTGTGCATGTGTGTGTAATTTCTATGCTGAAAATGTAGCAATTATGCAACAATACATCATATATATATATATATATTATTATTTTTACATAATTCCAGAGACACCATATGATCAACCTTTCTCTTTCTGAAATACTTGTGTATAAAAATTGTGGGTGGGTGGGGCTATTCCCACTCCACTGTAATTAACAACTAAGTGACTGAAGAATAATATCGTCATGATTCAATAATGGACAAAGTGTTAGTTACATATGCTTCATTAATATCAAGCTCCATCTGCAGTAATGTTATGGAAAACTTGCACAATATGGTTACAATATTAATAGTTCAGAAAAAATAAAAGTCATGTGAGATATGACTTGTCCAAATAAATGCTTAGACCATAGTGCACAATACTATAATAAAATCAACAATATTGAAACATCAGTATTTTGGAAATTAAAACAAAATACATTCAAAACAAATCAATTATTGTCTTTCCTTTTGAATATTAATTTGTTTTGAATTTATTTTAATTTCAAAATTAAAACAAAAAGGAAATAAAACAGATAAGCTCTTCACTGAATATTAATCAGTATTTTAAACTTTATAAGTTTAATAGTACAAAATATAAAAGGGTTAGTTAGGAACATCATCAATTTGTCAGCTAAATTTCTTAGTTTATATAAGTAGGCAAAATTCTACTGTAACATATAAACCCAATTTGACAGATAAAGTGGTTAATTAGGCTAGTGAACTGACTAAAAAGACAAAAATTGGAATTAACTGTCACACCACACCTACATTTCTAGTCAGTCTAGTTTCTAGTCAATTTTCAACTTTTGTACCACATTTATTTATAAGTCCATTATGGTTCATATACAAGAAGAACAATGCATGTACTATATTCAGACATACCAACATCCAGAATTCTTTCTCCTGGTCTACTGATTTTCCAAGCAGCTATTTCTTCCTTTTCTCGATACTGCAATCTTCTTTCTTGAAATCTCACTTTGATAAAACTCTAGTAATAATACAAATGTCTTATGAGAATGATGTAACAGACAATAATTAGTTAACAACAGTGTTATACTGAAAGTATTCTTATATCACAAAGATAACATCTCACAAACAACATGAAGTGGACTTAGCTCAAAGTAATCTTACTTTTCTCTTTCCAGTATTTTATAGCTCATTTACTGACCTTTCAATGTATTAAATATAAAAATATATCTTCTTCATGTTCATGCTTAACAAATCTGAAAACCAACAACATATTTTAGTTTTCTATAATTACTTACAAAAACTATCACTCATTCGAAAAAGAAACAAAAATATATTTAAGCTTCATTTTTCTACAGATTTATTCATGCAAATGAAAAATGACTGAGCCACTTTAAAAATATTATCATGACACAACAGAAGATCTTTCAGTCTGATAGATATATGAATCTGACTTTTTAATATGAATTAAAACTGCTCGGGAAAGAGATGATGCACAAAAGAAACAATTAAAAAATATATCTTTCTCTATTAATATGTATCTATAAACACACACACACACACATATATATATAAATATATATAGATAGATAGAAAGATAAAAAGCAACCTTGATAACTTTCATGTTTCTTACCTTCAACATCTTTCCTTTTAGTTCTGGTGGATCTCCCATTTTCCTAATTCTTACTTCATATGACTGTCCTATTTGTACAAAAGCACATATAAAGCACTATTAATCATCACATATATATTTATATGTGTATGTGTTTTTTACAGACATACTTCTTTTATTAATTTACAGCATTTTTGACTACTGTATTAAATACTCAAACATCACATGAACTCATATTGGAATTATATTATTAGTGTAATATTTATAAAAATGAAATACAGAACCATGTTCTCTTAGATACACCCAACATGATATTGTATCACTGGTTGATTACTTCAGCATCATCAGATATTAAACTATTATCTTCAGATGGTTATTTAAGCATATCCAACAACAACAGAAAGTAAGTAAATCATCCTCATCAGCTGATTAACATTAGGGTTAATCAACCTAACAGATGAATCAATGCATTCTAGCCATTACAAATTTTTATTCTCTTTACAACTGTTTTATGATTTAAAAATACTCTCATTAAGTCTATTGTACATACAATTAGCTACACTGTGTACTAAGTTGTTTATTAGTTCTGATCCATTTCGTTAGCTTGCCTTAATTTGGAGTTATTAATAATTATCAGGCAAAATACACATTTACTTAATTATTCTACTCTAGGAAAAACAAATCAACCTTAGTACCACACATTAAAGATACTTTTGGAGAATATATTATTAGGTTTTTGAATCAAGTTTAAAAAAGGTCTGTTTAAAAGAACCCAAAAAAGTTTCTAAAATTGAATTTTTGAAAATTACACAATATAAATGTGTTGAAAGCTGATAAAATTAAAAATGTATACAAGTAAAATGAATTTCAAACAGCTACTTACTTCTGAAATATGAAAGAAGTTGAGTTGTTCTCATGCGCCAAGAAATGTGACTAAAATTTTGAGTGTTCTTGATACAGTGCAGAGCATGCGTCAACTTACCCACAGTTCTCCACTTTCCACGTGACTTATTGCACTTGCATCCGGAGGATGTACATAAGCCCTGCTTTCCTGTCATAATCCAAATTTTGTAGTTTTTCATAGGCAAGTACCTGTTTGAAATTCATTTTAATTCTAAAAATGTAAAATTAAAACAGGTAGACTTACCTCTGAAATACAAAAAGCCAGAATACCCATACTGAGATGGAGGAGAGTCACAAGGACCAATGGTTAACCAAAATTTTGGTTTTTGAACAAGAAGGCAACAGCCTAAATAGCAGAGATAAAAGAAATCCAGAATCCTAGTAGATTCAATGGACTTGATTCATGGGAAAACAAGTAGAGCTGACTCGTCTCATATGATACTGGACACTAAGAAAACGAAATCTTTTCAACGAGGAACTTTCTTGCCCTCATCATCCTTTATAAAATATATATATATATATATAAACAAGAGGGAATCCTCAATAGCCACAGCACTTGAAATTCTTTTAAGCAGGTTTAGAGTAAGTTAATGTATGAGCTATATTTTGTGTGTCATGATATAAAAGACTATTTAGTTTAGATATTATTGACTAATTTATTTTTGTTATAATAACAGTTAAAATCAGACAATTGTAGGAAGTTTTGTTAATAATTGATTGATGTTGAACATCACGTGCAATACATTGATGTCAAGAATATAGAAGGTGGCCAGACGATTAGGTGATAAAGATATAAATAGCATGAGATGAGTGGAAACAGCAGACAGATAATAGCAAAAAAGAGTAAAGTTACAGGGCAAGGAAAAGTTCGGCATGAAGTTAACTACCGTAGAAGTGATAGGCCTAATGACTGACATAGGCTTAACATTTAATATGTTAGAGTAAGACTAACAGTAGGAGAGGAGAAAAGAAAAATAATTTATTCCATCAAAGCATGGTTCTAATGTAATTGAATCAGCCTGAGTACACTTTGACAAAAGGAACTGAGGATCTTCAGAAGAAAGAAGACCAAACGATTACAGTAACTTGTGCCACAATTGTAAGTGAATCACACATAGATTACTAGTGCGATAGTAATAGAGAAGATAGTTCGGCTTGTCAAGTAAAATTCTAAGGTAATTGAATAGGCCTAAGTGGACTTTTGATAAGAAGGAGAGAACTACATATATAGTGTTTATGATATGCTTATATCTAAAGTGTTAAATGATTTGTTATACATACATTTAACTTGTTCCAAATATATGTATATATTACTTTGAAAACAAGTAAAGTGCATGCTGTTTATCTATCATTGAATTTATCACTAATAAGTCACAGACATCTACTGTAGAAGAATCCTAAGCCCAACAACTACATAGTATATATTTATACTATTAAGAAATATAACTAAAAGCCTTTTTATTTTGACAATTGGCAAAAGGAATAATGTATATTTTAAATTCTGACAGTGCACCAGCAATACCAAGCATGGGGCACACATATACCCATTCCAATTTTATTGCTCCTCAGGATCTCTACGAACCTACCCTAAAATTGAAATTTTTTTAGGCAGGATCTGAGTAAATTAAGATACGAGACCTTGGGCATGGTCAAATACCTCAATCGAAAGGGTTTGACCCCCCGAGTAAAAAACTGTAATTAGATTTTAAATTGGTAGAGAGATGAATGGAGCTATTAGCTAAAAGTTTGTACTTAAAAAAAACAAAAAACAACTCAGACCCGTTCTATAAGCCACTATACCACAGCTAAAATGGGGATCCAGGTGGTATGTATTTACCTGTGGAACTATCACATTCTCAGGTGTGGTTATAGGTGGTAGCTTAACAGGGAGACAGTGTCATATTACAGTCTGTTGTCCTGTAGTGGAAAATTCTTGGAGGAGTAGTTAAAAACTGGACTTATATCTCTGGGACTAATACCCCCTACATATACACCTGACAAGGCAAGCCAAGTCATGAAACTGGTTCAGTCAGCAGGTACACTTTATTCTTCCTGGGTACCCGCTGACTGAACCAGTTTCAAAAAACAATAATAAAGCAGAGTCAAGGATAAGCCCTACAACTCAAGGACAGTGGAATGGGAATACTAAACTGATTAAGAAATATAAATAAATATCAGTAAAATGTTCCTTGGAGCAATAAGACATCATATGGAGAATAGCTGTCTCATGTTTGATGTCTTGAATGCTATTCAAGGATGTGCATATGGACAAAGTATCATCAGCCACCAGAACACTATCACAGAGAGGACAGTTGTAGAGGTACAAGTAAAATGTGAGTGTCCCAACTGCACAAATTAATTCATACAGGGGAATCATATCATAAAGAGACTCTGTTTTGCTTTTTATATTCATTTTTTATTTCATTTATTAGTTTTGTTTTATATATCAAATGATTCCATGATCCCAAACGCCTCTGTAATTATTAAAAGGAGTTTTGGATCTTATAGCAATACATTGGTGACCATGAACAACAGATGTGTGAGTGCAAGGAAACAGAAAATTATATAAGCAAAATTTTTTTAATTTAAAATTCTTCCACATCTGAAGAGAATTGCCACTGGGAAACCATAGGCATCACAAATAGCAGATTTTGGTGAGATGTAAACCAAAATTCACTTTTAAGATTATGGGAACATTGTAGTAAACAAGATGAATCAATTCCATGAACCAATCTGTTAAAGTAACCATAAAAAGATTTTAAGAGTATCAAAAACCTTTTCTGAGACCCTCTGAAACATTTGAGATAAAAATGAACAATCCTGACAAGACAAAAAAAAAGGCATTATTCTGAATGACAATAAGGATCAGACAAGATAGGTAATACAACAGGTGAACACCATTTTATAACATGTCTCACAACCACTGTTCCCTCTAAGCTGCGTGAGCGCACAACAATCAATCAAGTGCCGCGCACTTAATTATTCCAGCCATGGCGAGGAGTCTCAACACGTTGACAGTCTTAATGACATAACCCTAAAGCCCAAGTAACCAACTGACAGCATTACAAGGTGGCCTAGAGATCCAATAGGGTAACGGTCTAAAAATACCACCACCACCCCTAAAAAAAACTGGTACCACATATCCATACATTAGAGGAAACATTGTTCATAACCCAAGTTTTAGGTAAGAAAGCACAATCAGGGTACAAGGGTTTCCAAGAAAATAAGATACACAAAGCATCAAGAGTACAGATTACAAATCATCTTCCACCCATAAAAAAAAATAGATCCAGGGAAGAAGTTATCAAGGGTTCAACTGTCCTTCGTATTTTAAAACAGCAGGTGAGTGATTTTTTACTTGCCTGAAAATATTATGGCGAGAGAATTTTACCACTCACCTGAAAATATTATGGGGAGTGATTTTAATCATTCAATGACAATTTTTTTTCAGGTCCATGTGAATATAACAAATAGTAAATTTGAAAAACATCTTCATTTATTTAACTTTTTTCAAAAATTAGTGCATACATGTGTTAACTTCCTAAAAGTTACACAATAATTAGTAACTCCTTAAACACCCTTAAACTGTACCCTTGATTATCAACATTTGACAAAAATGGGCCTAACTCTATTTGTTTTTCTTTTATAAGTGAATAAAAATATTAGCAGATAATCAATGATGTTGGGTGAAGATGCACAGGATATTTTACTCCACCAACAAAGGCAGCACATTTGCAAAATTTAGGGAGAAGCTGCACACTTGCCCTATTTAATATAAGCTAAGAAATTATCATGCTTCTTTTTTAGTATAGCACCCAAACCTAAAATATTGTCCTATAAAACACTGTTTGATATGAAATTAAACAGAGTTTATCCACTGTCATTTTGAGCATCGGAAAAAGTAGCCAAAATCGGGTGTGAAATTAAAGTTATGAATAACACGAAAACTTTGTCAAGGAAGACCTAGACTAAATAATTAAATGATGAGTAAAGCCAACACATGATTTAAATCTGGTCAATTCAGCCACTATTAATATTTGTTCACAAATATCGATCCTATTTCGATGCACTTTTACACAACCTAAACCTTACATTGAACACATGCATAATCTATGATAATTTGTCATCTGCTAGTACAATATCAACATATCAGTGATACAGTATTGATTCATGAAAATATTTCAACATGGAACTTTATACTCTGTTTTTCATTTTATTTATTTCCAATATCATTGTAGTTGTTGTCTCTTTTTCCTTGCAATGTTTTTTTTTAAATTCTGTAACAATCTGATGCTGTAGAATGTGATTCTATATTTATACACCCTACTATGCATGGACATCCACACGAGTTTGCATTTGCCCCCCCCCCTAGAAAATGAGAAACATAATTCTTTCTTTATTCATTCAGCATATGTATATGAATTTTAAAGTTTTTTTTTTTCACTTAACAATTTCACATTACTTGTTACATTTAGTTTTCAATACTAATAAAAGTTGGCAAATTTGTCAGCAGGCTTTACTTAAAATCTCTAGATACCTATCCTGTGGCTAAATATTGAAAAATGTCACTACCATGGCAGCTTCATGTTAATTGAGCATGGCAGTTGTCACTCAGGTCATCAGAGGCCGACGCTGTGATGCCAACATCCTCCGAGCCCTGACACGGTGTGATCAAGATCAATCTGTTGTCACCTGATGGTAATACCAGCAGCAGGTCAGCAAAGGGACTGACATCTCTTGAGAAAGTGTAGACAAGATCAACCTCCTGCTAATATGGAATCCAGAGAAATATCAACATCATAAGCTCTGACCTCCTCTGAGCCCTGACATGGTATGATTGGGGTCAATCTGTTGACACCTGATGGTAATACCAGCAGCATGCCATCAGTCTTGCTAACATCTCCTGAGACAGTGTGGCCGGGGTCAATCTTTTGCCGATTATAGTATGCAGAGAAGTATCAACGTCATAATCGCCGACATGACAACGTGGTGTCATTGGTTAGGTCATATGTAAAAGGGCTTGTTAACAGCAAGTTACTTCAGTTTTGGTTTTTGGGAGAGACATACTGACAAGCTGTCGATTTACTTCATTGGAACACATTAGGTAAAAAACACTTAAGCTAATTCTGTAAAAACAACTATGCCTTT